CTAAATTGACTTATTATATTTAGCTCATGAAGTTTCCATCAATATAACAAACGAGTGTTTGTTTACGTTTGCTAAGTGCGCAGTATGCTGTTGTCGTGTTGTGGTATGCTTACATAGCCAGCTAACTGTTAGTGTAATCGTTTACCGATGATGAATTTTCCCCAGTGGAAGAAACATTTTTCTCATTTCTTCCATGGTTAGCAGTGTTGTGTACCTGAAACCTATTTATTTCTATCGTATCCATCCAGTTAGGAGACAGGGAGTGTTGATATTATTTGATGTGGTCATCTGGCACAGTGTGACATCAATCTATATGTTTCTCTGTATAGTTCCATCATTTACACTGAAAAGGACTGAATTGAATTGAGGAAGGAGTCATTTTTGAATAGCTATCCTTTAGAAATTTCATTAGTCGTATTCACTCCTGTAATTTATTTTTGATATGCATGTTAGTTGAAAGATCAAAAGACTTCAATTAATTGATTTTTAAATCATAGCAAATATAATTATTTACTTTACCTGCTTGAACCATACCAAATTGACGATATTGTCGTTCAAGAATCATTATTTTGTTTTTTTTTTTCGCTAAATGAATAATAATGATTTATCTGAAGTGCTGCATGAATTTACTAAAACTGTCAGATGAAATTAAAATTAATTGAATTTTTTGTAAAATATTCTGAGGTCTCTTATGCACTGATATGATATTTTCATCAATATTTTATCAAATTGTTATTCACATCCATAATTTGAAGTAATATTTGAGATTACTGGTAGAATATGAACCACTTGGTACTTTATAAAAATTTAATTATTTTCAATTCCTTTTAAAATCAAATTTGAACTTTTCAAAAAAATGGTAATTTCATTATTCATTATTGAGATATACCCATTTTCTTGAACTTTTTTCTTCAATTTTTGATAATACAATATAAGAAGGTCGAAAGGTGAACTTAGTTCAAATCGTTATAACAGTTGGTGGCTTCCTTTTAACGAAAAAAATAAATTTATAATTGGACAAAATAAAAAAATAAATTTTTCAATGTCATTAAAAAAATCAACTTGCAGATAAACAGAGCCGGTTGTTGCTGTTTTATTTGTTTGAGAGAATGAAAGACAAGGAGAGTTATTTTTTGTGCTGAGGGAGGTAGCTTTCTCAAACAAATTGCAATCAGTCGGGTGCCATCAGTGCCACCTTCATCACTGTCGATGATATTTGTTGTATTGCTATTCCACTTCCATCCAACGGATTTTTATTTCATTTTGTCGGAAAAATCATTCGAGTGCTTCCACTTCTACGTCATTCCACTCATCAAATCGACAATCTTTGCATGCCAATTGTGCTATACTTTTACGCATTTATGCGTTCATTGACATCATTCTCTTCCTATTCTTTTTCTTTTTTACTCTCCGATTGAAGAATATTGAAAAGTGATGTCAGTGAATCATTAGAAAACGGTCAGTTGAGGTGACCTTTTGGAAATTATTACATATTGTGACCATCTGGAATTGAGTGATGGGAATGGGATAGAAATGAAGGGAATGGAGTCAGAATTAACGTAATATACGCATATCTTTTTACGTTCGGGCAAAAGATTTCGATTGTTTTGATTTTGTCTAAAATTTGTAGTAGCAATTCTATGTGCTTCACTGATAATCAGTTTCTTCTTCTTTATAATAGAACTAAGAAGGATAAATGAAAGGATATCTATGAATGTTCTCTTTTTCTTTTCATTCTCTCTATATATTTCTTCTCATTTCAAATAATCTCTTCATTGAAAATTTAAATTCAATTCTATCTCTACATATTTCTAACGGATAAATGCTCGTAGTAGCTTGTATGGAATTCAATTATGAAATGTAATAGTAAAAGTGACAGTGTTGCATTTGCAAAAGGCTTAAATGGCTAAGCATTCGATGTATAGGCCTTAGAAATTGGACAGCTTTCAAATCAACTTATTTTAAGTGAAAATTTTTGCATATTCCTATATGAAAATTCGGGAACTCCATTTACGAATTAGATATATATATTAGCGTGCCGTCGTATCCAATATTGAGTGTACCGGTCAAGGACGAGGTGATCTGTATGGAAATATTCCCATTCATTGCATTTCTTCGTTTCAGTAGCCTCATTTGTTGGATGTTGCCTTTCAACTATTTCAATTTCAAAAATCATTTTACATTCAGCTTACTGTCTGGTTTAGCAGATGATAATTGATCTAGGCTTTCGACTTATATTCTTAATCTCATAGCATGTATTTTTTTATTAGGAATTGCAAATGCTTCATTAATTGAAACTTGCTGCGGTAATTCACCTTTGTGTCGAAATACGTTTAATGGAGCATCGAAAACAATTATTCTTCTGAAATTAAATTCTTCTGAAATTAAAAACTAATTGATTCCAACTGTTATTTCAGGCTCCCCCGCACAAAAATCCTCACTTGCTTGCTTTCTTACTTCGCCATATCCTTTCGTCATCACTGCAGTCATTTTCATCCTCCTACAATCTTATCGCATTCACCGAAACCAATCTATCTCCTCCAGCAAAACTTCATATTTTACCCGTTACTGATCAGTTTTTTCCTTTACAGAAATTGTTTTTCTGTAATTCTTAGTTATCCGACAACAAAATTTTCCAACGAATTTTTTCCAAAATTTCATTTTCGATCTTACCAATCAATTACAACATGCTGGATGGTTTTTATGGTTATTTCTTTGGCAATGAGGATGTTAATGGCAACAACACAAAAGTAAGCATTGTGAACCTTTTGTGTTTAGTGAACAGAAATGATAATTTCAATTCTTTTATCTGAATAGTAACATTAACAGTAATCGTTGCACCTTAAAACTTCTGACGAATTTTTTCAGAAAACTTTTTTAGGAGAATGTTACCGTGCTGACGAATTCAACCGAATTGGTTACTTTTACTTTACCAAGTGGAAGTGCGGAAGCGAAGGATGACGATTGGATTTTGCTCGATGGTAAAAATAAAATTTCACTGTTAATCCTATATAATATTAGTGATATGATAGTACAACATTATTACGATGCCAGTTATGTGTAACAGTCGAACCTATTTCTCAGTTTTACCCAATGTTCATATTATCAGTAGAAGTTCAGATCAATCACTAACTGATTGTTACGATTGATACGATAATAGTGCTATTATAAGATGTCACGTAAATACTTGTTTCATTTCTAGGACAATTATCTTCTGGTCGTTCGACACCAGTGATTGTTCCGGAACCGGACCTAATAGCAATCGATGATGAACTATCAACAGTGGTTACTGAATCTTCGCGATCATTGTCACCTGCATCAACTCTTCCACATAATGACATACTGTCATCGGAATTTATCAGTTGGGATTTGAGTCGTGGATCACGTAATGGAATATCAGGAAAACATGTGGAACGAATTCGTCAAGCAAAGCAAAAAGCTATCGAAAGAAAAGAATTAGAACGAAAGGTGCAATTTATCATCAATAAATTGTCTATAATTGATCATTTAAATGATCTTTTATATTCATTATTTTAAAAGAATATAAAATTTTTTTTGCAGCTTTTCGAAAATCATCTTCTGGGAATAAGTAATGACGCTGACAAAAAACATTCAAACAATATTATTAATAATAGCACCAGCAATAAAACATTGAATATGCTAAATAATGCTGCTAAAATGAAAAGGTGAATTTACTTTTACTGTTCATTTCTATAGCAACTGATTAATTGTTTGTTAAAATAGGTGATTAATTACTGTTAATAATTTATTATCCATAGATATCAAAAAATAAATAAATGATTTATGTTTAATCATTAATTCCATTTCCATTAATCATCGGTTCATACAAGATATTATCAATTTGTCTTCTTTTAACAGAGAGATTGAGGAATGATTTCTTCAATCATTTCTCAGTTATTTATTTCTTACTTATTTAGTTTCCACTTAACTTGTATCACTTTTATTTTTGTTTGTTAATTTTTACTTCGTCAGAAAGAAAATATGGGTTCGAAGTTTTGGACCTATCTTACATTTCGAACCTATCTTACATGTTGGAACACATAGAATTGTTCTTTGTTAGCTAAGTTGTATTTAGAACAGTAGGTAAAATGTTCGAGAAATTGTTGGCAATGAAAAGTAATCTTCATAAGACAAACGGATTTTTTACTCTATTACTTTCTAGAAATTTAATGAGAGATCTTTCGTTGCTCTCAGCTTCTAAAATTATCGAAATTTGCTTTAAAAAAACCATTCAGATTTCTTTAATTTTCTCCTAAATTTGCTAATTGGAAGTTGTGAATTTTAAATTCTGAAGTTTATTTAACAGCAAATTTTCAGTTTCTCTTGTGTATATTAAATTCAAACAGTAATGAGGATTTATTCTATAAATGACGTTTCATCATTCATGAAGTCTTGAATGGTGAAACGTTACTTATAGAGTAAATTCTCATTGCTGTTTAAACTTTATATGCACAATGGAGAATATCTCCATCAGTTTTTTTCATTTTTTTAAAAGTCAGAATTGAAATAAAATGAAACATAGAGAAGCAATGATAGCTTTTTGATTGAAATGGAAATAATCTGTCATAATAAGCTTTTTGAAGTAATGCGATATTTTCACAAAAAAATTCTTTTGCAGATCCACCGCCGCTGGGCATTTTGCAACGGATTCAAAAACGAAACCACGCTCAAAAAAAACCGGTCGTTTGTTGGCCGGCCGTAACAATGACCGCAAAGTGAATACTTTGAACTGAGGTTAGTATGAGTTCGGAGAAATGATAAACAAAAAAAAGAAAAAAAACAAGAATTTTTGTTTTATTTGAATTTGCGTCAGATGACCATCACATTCATAACTACTTCTCCTGCTAAACCAATCGTTCAACGGAATTTTACCATGGGAAAATTACACTCAATCACTTCAATTTTCGAATTCAAAAATCAGCACAGGAACAACTCTCACATCAAATTTTTGTTGTCCTTCTGTACAACATCTTCTGAAACGCCTCACTTGATAGTTATACCTTATCAGTCAACACTTTTTCTTTTATTATCGTGTATTATAACTATATTCAGGTATATATTTCTTAGTAAATTGTGCAATTCACAGCTGTTGGAGGATTTTGAAATGTTTCCATTTGTCGTAATAGCTTACTTATCCATCTATGATAATGTAGTTTAAAGTTTTTTTTAGCATTATTTGTCATTTCAAACCATTTATGTTTACTTTCTAATACATTGAAAGTTTTTATATGCACATTACGAATAGATTCCCAATAAGATAAGCATCAGCCAAGGAAAATGGAATTGACTTGTCTAAACTTTTTATTTTGACAGCAAGAATTAACTATTAGCGAAGATGTCGCAAAATTTTCATCCTAACTTATATCTAAATAGTCTATAGTTCGTTATGCATAAAGTACCTTATCGATCTCTTATAATGTAAGGAAGATAATCCATGCTTTAAATTGTAATGTCGATTAGTTTTTAACTCTTTTGCGGCAACTCAGATTGTTCATTAATCGATCTCGTATCCATTGATTGATAAAAACAGATCATATTCACTGTGTTCTTTGGTCGATTTGGACGCATATCTGCAACAGTTGTATTGCTCGTTCCAATTTTGTATAAATTTTTTTTAGCATTTATATAGTACTGTAGTGTATCTGTATGTTATATGTAATTCATATCCTTTCATCAAATTCTACCTGCCTCCCATTTTAAATCCATATTATGCATGTTCTCTCATATTTGTTTTCAGTTTCTTTTTTTTGTAAATGAGTGTTTGGAAATTATCAATTATCGGAGTTCCCGAGAGGTATCGAACTATACTATGTTCATTTCTAAATCAGTAAATTGTTTTTTTTTTATAACTTCCTTAACATTCTCTCTCAGTTTGCTATGGGTATATTACTCTAAACTTTACACTATTCTCAAGAATTTCTAATATTATTTTCTATTGAGAGGAGATGATTTTTTGTTTTTTAAAAAAACCCAAAAAATTAAACGAAAACCCAAAAACAACCAAAAAAAACTTTAAAAGAAAATGAATAGTTTTTTTAAAAAAAAAATTTTCCAAAGTCCAAAGCACCTGGCATCTCTGCTTTTATGTAGATTTGAATTTCAACCATTTTTCTCCATTTAACTTTTAATTCTTATCATTTCATTCTTTATATTTTAAAGGTTGTTTGCGTGCACTGTGTTATTAATAACTAAGTGATAATAAATTTAATTGTAATGATGAAAATGTGAAGCAGAGATATATCACTGTGTTTCATTTATGGAAGAGTTTATTGTCACGACACTGATCCGACTGTTGTAATATAAATTTTTCTTTGTATCTAATGCTTGTTAGAATTTTTCGAATTTTAACAAATGATCTAATAATTGAAACTTTGGATTGTTTTAAATTTTGACAAACTGCAATTAATTACTAATATTTAAACTTATGTTTTTCATTTCTTGCTTTATGCTACTTTCAGTCAATCATACTTGAAAGTATTTTTTTTTTTGAAAAATGTATTTTTTAAAATTTCATTAAAATATCTCCTATTAAGTGATGAGTGCATCTCATGTATATCACACAACACAAGCTTTTCAATCTTTTGCTTCCGAAGTTTATTCATACAATATTTTCAATTAGATTTTTTAGGTAATTAATATATCATATTTTCTAACTGTAATGAGTGATTTATTGATTTAATGTTGCAGTTGTTTGAAGAATGAAAAAAATTTGCACGAGCAAATATAGAAAATACGCAGATAATTATGCGATCATATTATCTGGATAATTAAATCTTTTGGGATTGTCGCGAAGAAAATTTTTAAATTTTTGATTGAAACACTGGAATTGAATACGAAGTACGACATAGTTGCAGTTAAGCTAAAACTGACAAGCATTATGCTCGCATAATTATTATCCCGCTATTTTTACTGGTAAGCTTTCTAAGGGTCTTATCAAAGGTCATTGGGATTATACTGGCTCCTGTTATCACCTATATAGAATATATGCATTAGAGTTGTTACATTTCTGGATTTCTTTACTTTTTACTATTTGAATAGTTTTTTTTAATACGACATTGTTTCCTTACACAATAATAAAACAATTAAAGATGAGTTTCCAAAAAGAAAGTTAAAAACATATTTTAAAAAAATGCATTTTTCACTCTTTGAAAGTTTAGCTTTTTTGATTTTTCGTTCTTAAATTCGAAATATTCCTTTTTAAATGTTTGCTTGTTAATGTTTCGATTTTCTCTCACTATTTTAAAAAGAGACTTTGTAAAAGTTTTTAGTTTTCTCTTTTTCTTTTCTTAGAATTTTTTATAAATTTATGCTCTTGAAAATTATAAGACTCTCATTTATATTGTAAAATCACTTCTACTCAGGTGTTGAATGAAATTCATTTAGAAATATTGCTTTTTTCGTTGCTAACGCAAATTTGATTGTCATTTTTACATTTAAATGATATTTCAAATTTATTATGATTGCTCTTGGAGCTCTCAAAATTAGAAATATGCTACATAGTTTTTTTCTAAGAGTCGCATTGTTTTATGTATTTAAATTCATTAATTTTAAATAAACTATGCGTATTTTGTGATTTATGTGCTTTTAAGTGTCTTCTTAAATGCTGTAGACAAACACCTGCAATGTAAAATATATTTTTTTCTTTTTTAAATATATTGTCTTCGTAATTTATCACAATTTAAAAATTTTCATGAGTCATAAAAACCTTATGAATAATTATAGTTTGACTTTTTGCGCGCGGAAACGGATTTAATACAAAATAGAATTATTAAATATCTTTCTTGCAGTATTGCAATTTTTTTTCATGCATTGATATTGAATCCACTTCAATATTCCATCCTTTTCTGCTCGTTTTATCATTTTTTCCAATTTTTTTCAATAAAGTTTTCAGATTGAATAATTCAAAATTATTTCTTTGTGGACAAACTTTTTGTCTTGTGCGTAACTACTTTGTATAATAAAAGATTTGATTGAAATATAAAACTTACCGAAAATAAGCTATGATCAAATTGGCCATTTGGAAATAAATTTAAATAAACTTCAGAAAAGCTTGATTTTTTTTTGATTTTTCATAAAAGTTGAAGAAAGTAACATGCAACAGGTGAAGCTATTCAAGCTATGATAATAGGTTTACCTGAGATATAAATAAATGGCATCACCTGAATCAATAATTTTTAGATTCGTCCTATCACATTTAATGTCCTCTTAGCAAAAATTCTTACTATTTCAATTGCGTTTTCTGTGGAAACGAAAAATGAGAAAGAAGTATCCTTCAAAAAATGGCGGAGTAAATAAAAATGAGGAATGTTTCTGCTTTCGTCTTCATCTCTGCTAGTCAACTTATACAAACCAGCTGCTTTGCAAGCCAGTCTCCTCCGCTATCTCCTATTCCATCACTTTCAAATTTCGATCAGTTTGCCTCCCCAACAACTAACAACTAGCCTGAAAAGCCGCTTCAATAACAAGTGCAATATATCCACTTAACACCATAAGCCTTCCTCTAATAGTTTCCATAGTTTCTTTAGATTATGTTATATAAAATAATTAAATGCTTCAAATTAAAGAGAGTTTAGTTGGCTATAGCGTTTATTGAATTGATAATTTCGGGCAACATTCATATATCCGTTAGCTGCTATTTTGTCGATTATTTATAGCATTCTAAAGAATTTTTCTAAGAATGCTACAAATCTTTTATTTTGATTTTTAAATATCATTTCATTTTAACTTTTAATTTTTATTTCACGCCTGAAATGTAGTGTCATACTTTCCTATTCACGCTAAAATTCTGTCAGTTTTATGTCATGTTTTTTATTATGCTAAATACTTCACGTCATTTTTATCCAAGCTTGTTTAGTTTAAACTTTTTTTTCAGAATGCTATTAATACGCATGCTCAATTGTTAAATTCAAACAGTGCATTATTCTTAGCTCTAAAATGATTCATATATGAAATGAACAGATTAATGACGAAATTAAATGAGATTGGATTAGTTTCTTTCGATATCATGTTTTGAATTACTCGCCGATGTACATAAATATTCAATTTAACGGTGAGCAATCCTGGATGTAAGCCAGCGGTCAGCTTCATACCTATTTCTCGATTAAAAAGGTCGCAAATAGTGATTGGAAGGTTTATTCGAAGTAATGGCTTTATTAATAAAATGAATGGAATTGCCGATATCACATGCAATTTCATTTGTTTACTTATTTAATTGCTGCACCGTATTTTCTTTGTAAAATGAATAAAAATTAATTCCAATAAAAAAAAAGGAAACTTAAATCTACAAAAGTGAATTTCGAAGATTTCAATTTAAAAGTTTTTTATTTTAAATCATATCAAAACAGTTTTAAGTGATAGATTTAGGAATTATAAAAAAAAAATATCAATGAAACCATCAATTGCTTTCGGATCTAATTTCTATTCTTTATCACAAGACTAGATCTTTGAAGTATTTCTACTAACTACCTCATCATCAAAAGTTTGTTTTTATCTTAAAGAATTAAAATACAATTTATACTTCACTCACAAGCAATACTTGCTTTTGAGTGAAGCATAAAGCGGATCAGAAGAGCACATCGTCTAAAACTAATTTTTAGATAACGTATTTTTCTGATCCACTTTATTAGTCTGTTTTTTTTTTTTTTTTACCGAGAATTTAAGCAGAGAATTTAAGTTGACGAATGAATGAACAGGCTCTTTGAATTAGCTGAGATTAGAGCATAATTTGAAGCTTGGAAAATTGAAATTGGCGATCATTCACGCAATATAATTTACAAACGATAATGTCTATTTTTTTAAAAATGGGAAAGTTATTTTAAAATTTCTATAAGTTGTGGATCAATAAATTAATGCTTATGATCTTGCAAAGATTAGTAATGATTTTATTTGAACATTTTAAATTAAATACATGAGAACTGCAAAATTTCATAGCATACATAACGCAACAAAATTTCTCTCTCAATTACTAGAAGCTTTTAATTGAATGCTTTACAATGAATTAATTTAGAAATATCTGATTAGATTGAATAATGATTATCAGTTAGGTATGTGTCGCAAACTATCAGGGATTAAACTTTCACTTTGAGAAAGAAACTTTTATTTACATTGCCTTTTTCTCTCATAGTGTCCGACAATATTACTCCTCACTGCCCACAACATCTAAAATTCTTATTTTTTTCTCATTTATTATATTAAAAATTAAATGACAACGACGATTTCCTCTTTGTCAGCAGAACTTTGCAACCAAAAGTACGCTTATGCAACAATTCTCTCTTATTAAACAACCCAATCGAGAAAGTTTTATAAAAAGAAAACGAATCTTTTTTCTTCAGAAAATTTAATTCTCAAACATATAGCTAATCTCGTTCGTGGAATAAAATGATAAAATTGAAAATATAAGATTACATTCTGATTCAATATATCCCTCATTGGGTTCATCTTTCTGAACATTGTTCTTCTAATTAATCAAATTTATCAATACAAGTTTTACCTGTAATTACAAGCCCAAGCAATGAATTGTACATGTCAATGGTGAACTGAATATTTCCTCGAGTTTTATTCCTCGGAATTCACTCAATTTACCAGTTTATCTTTGCACATGCTCGTTCTAATTGGAATTAAATTTCAATTAAAGAAAATATTATTTAATTCATCAATTGACATATACTCTCCTGATGGTCCATTTTCTTAAATATATGACATGTTTATGTATTTGTTTTTCTGATTAAAATAATTTCAATTAATAGTTTTTTAACAATAGCGCTGAAATTTGTCATAGATGGTTTTAGTTATATATTATTTAAAGATGGAAATTTCTGAAGGTTGGAAAGATGTTTACATTTCCTGTCCATAATAGCGTCTGGGAACAGGGCTTATTAAAGGAATTACCTGTCAGGATTGAAATAATTCATACGAAAAGCATAACAGAAACGTAGACATTAAATTTCACTTTTGGTATTCATTTTTTCATTTTCATTTCTGAAGTATATCACTTCAATTCTTTAATTTATTTAACTTATTTAAATTTTTTTGGAGAAAGAAAGAAGGATAGGACACTCTCAAAGGAAACCGCAAATGATGGGGTTTCCTTTGAGAGTGCCCCATCCTTCTTTCCTTCTCCAAAGAAATTTTCATAGTGAAAAAATTTTTTTGATGCAACCTTTTTGACATGTAATTTGGAATTCATTTCATCATACATTCAACAATTTAATGTTTTCCTTTTTATACTCCCTAATACAAAGAAAAAATGTCAGAACTCTAACAAGTCTTGCTCATCTGATTAGTTTTATTCATTTATTTCAGAAGTCTCTTCTTCAAAATGGTAAAAGCACTCATTTTAAAGGTGTCAAATTTGAGCTTTGGCTAGATCGACGATAGTAAATTCAAGAGTTTGAATGTATTGATGTTTTTGATGAAGTTAAAGCAATGTCATGCTGTGATCAATATGTTCAAATGAACAAATACAAATCATTCTCACCTCATTCGTTCATGATTTACTAATATATTGTGTCGAATGGCAAATCACAAGCATGTCACTCTCTACTCATAAAAACATTTCTAGCAAATTTTAAATTTAACGCTCACTTTGCAAAAATTTAATCAATATGAGCGTTTGAGATGCCTCTCTGTGTAACGCTACTGTGTCTTTGTGCATGTATGTGTGTGTGTGTGTGTATGTGTATGTGTGTGT